TCTCTCCGGTATTGTCCTCTGTGCCTCGCTCATTTTGTACCGGTGTTTGATGGTCGGCAACTAGCGGGGCGGGCCTGCTGTGAATCTGACAAGAATGATTGTGATTGGGGTTTGGCTGTGCATGCTGAGCCTGCAGTCACTCATCAGTACCCCTGACATGAGAGCGCGCAATTTTCCTATAATTGTAACATGACGTGTTTGAGTTATGTACCTCTAATATCGTATGTCCTAAAAAAAAAGTTGAAAAAAAAAAAAATTATTAAAATTTTTTATAAAATCGCACGGTCCCTGTGATGTGGAATATTGCGCATGCGCATATCGCGGTTATCGCCATGACCACGTATAATTCGTTAGCCCTAATGTGGATGGAAATCTTATGAGGATTACAGTAAAAAACAACAAATCCACGACCCTTTCTTGGCCTCAAGCATCCCTAAAAACCAGTGCCTTCATTCATGCAAAAGTATTTTAAATATCATACCCGTGTCAGAGACAGATATATAAGCCTGTGTGTTTGAGTTTAACAAAGATCAGAGGTTGTAAAAGGAGAGACAGAGCGGGGGGAAGGAGAGGGGTTTCACTTTCCAAGCAGTTTTTAATACGTTTGAACATTTACCTCCGATGGAAGTCGTCTTTATCCGATGTCTTCATCGAACAGCTCATCTCCAGCATGTTTTGGTCCAGGTGTTCGTACATCAAGGCCTTGAAAAATACAAAAAATTTATGCATAAACTACATTTAAACGGACAATACTTAGCTGTGTACCCGCATTGTTACTGTAGATCCTTAGGAAGGATCTGGAGCATTAGTAATGCTTTATAAATACTGGATACACAGATTTATAATTGTAAATAGCTGTCGATAATGTTATATAGAAGCCAACACTTTTTGTTTCACCATATGTCCTTCCTCGGTTATCGTTTTTTTACTTTTCTTTATCAACATCTAAACCTAATGATACTTTAATGAATTTAAATTGTATTTACAATGTGTTTATTTTGCACTGTGGCTTTTAATTGGTTTTAATTGCCCTTGTGCTAGTGTAAATAGACTAATCTTGCCTAACCCTCTGGACCCACGGACATTTCCGTTATTTTGTATATTTTTGTGTTTTGCCTTATGACTTGTCATTTCTTTAAATCAAGTTTTACCCATCCCAGAATCAGCACCAAACCTCAGCTTGATGCTATATGTCCCTCATTAGAGGACTTAGATATAATCATAATATGAAAAATCTGCTCCAAAGCCTCAAGCTGTAGTCAAACTCACTTTGCCATCCTCAGTCTACTTTCAAACACTAAAATAACGTATTCCAACTTTTATTTTGTTTTCGCACGTGGAATTATCCGGCTCTCGTTCAGTACACATACAACGGAACTGACTCTGAGTCAGTCTCCGATTGGCTGTGTGTGGACTGCATCCACTCAGAGTGACCGATTCAGAACCGTGGCTCTTACAACTCTTTACGTCACAAACAAGATGGTGGATGGAGAATAGATCTATAAAACGATGAGCAATCAAGCGTGAAACTATCCGTATCTTTAAAAACTTTACGCCACATTCGTTTCCACCAAAAAATAAGTGAACGCCTTTGGGTCTTTGCCGTTTCTGTCGTTTAAGGGGGAAAACACGGCTTGTCTCGTGCTCAAACAGCTGAGAGGTTTACTGACGGCTTTGAACACAACGTGATATTTTGGAGATCGCATACAGCCCTGTGGGTGTCAGAAGGTTAGCAATGAAATAAAAACTTATATTGAAGCTTTCTTAGGGGATCCTCTTGTCAGACTTACCATCACTTCGTTCCACTTGGGGTTGACAGGTTCCGTGCCATGACTTTTGTCTTTGGGAAGAGCTGCGTTCCCCCTTGATGACCACCGTACGGGTCGGACTTCCCTTTGATCAGCCCGCCCAAAAACTTGTCTTTACCCAGCAGTTTCCTGTGCCTCGACGAAGTTGGATCCTACGGCACGCCCTGAGGATTAGAGGATCAAAAGCTTTATTTGGCAATTCACAATGGTTACAGAGGGAGTTGATGGGCAATCAAATCTGAAGTTCGTGGCGCCTTCCAAAATCAACCCAAGGAATACTTCATATTAATGTGCAAGGAAAATAGGCAACATGACACAATGGGTAGTAAAGTGGCACGAATAAGTACACATTTTTGTAAATTAGCAGTTTTTCTGCTTGCTTCACTGAGGACAGGATGAGCAATTCACTCAAAAAGAGAGGTATGATACGTTTGGTTTAGTTTATTTTGATTGTTCGGACCCATATGCGAACATTTAAATGGTAAATACCACAGATACAAATTCTATAAAACAACCAACTTAACAGTCATTAATTGACTTATTGTCTGAAAACTTACCCACTTGTAAAAGCTGAGTGAGTGA